GGGGGGGGGGGGCTGGCTGGTGGCAGGGGGACGAGAGGGGGGTGGTTCGTGGTGCCTTCCAACTCCCGCAGTGGAAGGGGTATGGGTGGATGCGGGAGGATGGGGGTAGAGGAGAGGGGGGAGATGGGGGTAGAGATGGGGTAGAGGGAGGGGAGGGGGTGTAGAGCAGGCGTATCCGGCAAAGTGGGCGTAGTACGTACAAGTGCTCCAGTCGTCGCAGCAGTCGCAGAGGCCAAAGGCAAAGTCGCCGGCGGCGTAGGACGACTCGTAAGAGGCGTCGTACGAGGCATCGTACGAGTCGTACGACGAGCCCTTGATCTTGTCGGCAAGCTTGCCACGCATGCCCTTCTTGCTGCCCTTCTTAGACTTGGCCATTGTGAATTGGTAGTGAAGTGTGCCTAGTGTCGTCAGAGCCCACGCGTTGCTGCTGCTGGCTGCTGGCTGGTTAGCGGCCGCTGACCCGCAACGGTCTCACGGTTGGTGGGTCGGGCGGGTGGTGGTCGGTCTGCTTCGGCTTGCGAGCACAGGCCAACGTGCAGGCCTACCTCCGCAGCGCCACCCTCGCCCCTCCAGCCAGCGCTATCCAGCGCTTTCCTTCGCATCCTTCTTCCCGTCCCAAACCCATCGCAATCGGCCATGCATGCTGCGGGCGATGTGAGGTGAGAAGCGGACGACAGGCGCCAGGTCGGCAAAGGCGCTGCATTCGGCGCGCGGCTCGAGTGCGAGGCGGGACGCGGGGCGCGGGGTTGCGGGCGAAAGGCACAACTCGACGCAGAACGTCGCCGAGATTGTGACCGGCACAGGACGGGAGATGCGAAGACGGTGGAAGGTCGGCGAGGTGGTAATGGCTGCTGCTGTGGCCTTACTCGTCGTTGCTCCTGTTCTGCTCTCGCTCGTGCCCGGTGCGGAAGGCTGTCCGTCGTCGGTCGACTTTGTCCCGGCAACGGCGGTCTCTATCACAGAGGGCGGATCGAGCAGTCTGGTGGTTACCGTCTCGGCGCCAGGCGCTGGCTGCTCGCCAGCAACGCCTTGCACCTTCAGCCTCTACTTTGCCAACGCTTCTCATCCATCGGGTGCCTCGCAGGTGGCCTCGGTCGTCGAGACGGCGGCCGACAACGCCGACATGGCCATCACCTTCCCGCTCGGAACAAATGGGACGTACAATGCAACCGCTACGGTAGTTGTCGCACCATCGCTCGTTGTGTGCGGGCCATCACCGCCGCGTGATATCGTGGTCCTTCCCCGGCCACTGCCGTCGCTGGTCTTGGCGCGAAATGCAACCATCGCCGGCGACGCCGTCGACGCCACCGCGACCTTTGCTGGCCGCGGCTCGCTCCCAGCGCAGTTCATCTGGTTTGTTCGCCGCGCAGCAACGCCTGGTCCGCTCACAATCGTCGGATCGCGCGCGCTCTGGCCGGCCGCCACCGCCACCGCAGCGGTCGTCGTCGGCGAGTCGCTGCTCGATGCCCCTGGCGGCGTCCCGCAGGCCACTCCGTTTGACGTCTATGTCCTCGTCCGCAACGCCGAGGGCGGCGAGTCTCACCTGGTTCAAGCCCCCGGTACTCTCACGGTTGTTCCCCAGCCATCCGGCTCGCCTGTCTGGGCCGCCTGTCTCGCCTCGGTCGATTCGTCGGTCGGCGTCGCCGCCGTCGGCCTGGGCGCCACGCCCCCGTTCCGCATCCGGTACAGTGTCGTGCGGCTCGCTGACTCGGCCTTGCTGGCAGCGGTTGACGTCGTCGGCGTTGCCAACGACACTGTCTCCAATGCCTCGATTGCGTTGACGTCGGCCATGCTCCTCGACCCCACGGCGCCGATCACGGTCCGGCTCTTTCTCGACGTCATCGATAGCTCCGGCTTGGGAGCGCCCACCGCCACCATCGCGCCGTGCGACCTGGTCGTCAATCCAGCGCCGAGCTTTGTGTGGACATCGGACGGTGGCAACGGCCTCGTCTCGACCGCCGCCGCCGACGCCTCGCCTCTCGTCGCCCGACTCGCCACTGCTACATCTGCTGCGTCGTGGCCGGTCAGCTATGCATGGACGCTCAATGCAACCGTAATCGGCGCGGCAGGAGTGGTCAAAGCCGGATGGGGTACGCTGAGTGCTGGCTCTGGCTCATTTGACTCGGCATCTGCTTCCGTCGGCATCACAGTCGGCATCTCGGCCGCCGCCTTTGCAGACGCTGCCGCTATGGCAATGCTCGGTGGCACGTCGTGCGCGCTCGCGATTGAGCCCATCGCTGCTTTTTCCGACTCTGCTGGTGTGGGCGGCTCCGCCCGGGGCCCCACCTTTGTCCTCCATGCTCCGCTGACGGTTGTTGGCGCTCTCGCACCACTCATCCTCGCTCCAGGCAGCGTCGTCTCGCGCGGCGTAGTTGCGTCGGCGGTTTGGAACGTGTCAGCGTCGATTGCTGGCGGCACGCTGCCGCTGACAGCCGGGCGGCGGCTGGTCCAGGCGCTTCCTGCGCCATCAGCGCCCTTGACTGGGTTTTCCAGCGTGCTGCTCGGCAGCAATGCTACGCGCAGTCTGCCAGTGTCTCTGCTCGACTCGGGGAGCGTTAGCAGCAGTGTGGAATCGTTTTTCGTCGAGTGGCAGGTCTGCGACGCGGCAACTGCATGCATCAGCTTATCGTCGCCGGCGGTGATGGTGGTGCCTGTGCCTGTCGCCACCGTCGCTACGGCGGTAGCTTCAGCTGGTCCCGGTGCGTCCGGGGAGTTTCGATCGCCGATGGCTGTTAGCGTGCAGGTCGACGTTGCCCCTGTCAACGGCGGCGTCCTCCCGTTCAACATCAGTATCTCGCTTTTGCCAACAAGCGCGAGCGTGCCCTCTGGTTGCGTGTTCACGCACCTTGCCCCAAGCGTAGCCAGCCGCTCGCTCGTCCTCGTCAACGTGACCGGTGCCCTCGAGCAGCTCGATTGTCCCATCGGGACCGAGTGGGCCACGGTGGTGCAGGTAACCGATGCATCTGGTGCAAGCGCGAGTGCCACCGCAGCGCTTGCACTTGTACTGGGCGGGCCGCCAGTAGTGGTCAACGCCACGCTGTCTCCGAACGAGCTTGTCTCTGTCGGTGCGATCCTCGGTGCCGAAGCTGCGGTTTGGGGTGGGGTCGGCACGGTGTGTGTCACGTACGTTCTCGTGAGCGGAGCGGATGTGGGCGTTGTGGTCGACGGTCCATGGCAGGCGTGTGGGCCGAGTCCGTCGAGTCTTGCGCTACCGCTCTCGCCACTCTCAACGGCAACTTTGGAGGCCGCGTTTGGGAGTGGCAGCACCGCACCGGGTGCTGCCAACATGAGCCTTGCGGTTGCGGTCACTCGCGTGGGTGATGCAGCATCAACAGTGGCTACAACTCTTGTGACATCAGCGGTGGTGGTGGTTCATCCGCCGAGCGGCGTGATCGTTCCGTCCGCCGGGCTGGCCACCGTCACCGACGTGCTCGAGCAGGTGTGCGTCACAAGCGTCACCGGTGGCGTTCCTCCATATAGCAGCACGGAATGGCAGGTCAACGGGCAAGCAGTGGGGAGCTTTGTGCACAGCAGTAGCGAGCTCTGCGCCCGCAACCTGAGTTTGATCTGGCCTGGCGCTGAGACTGGAAGCCTTGCGCCTGGTGGGGCGAGCAGTGTCGCTCTCCCGCTTAGTGTGACAGTGACCGACGTGCACGGGCGCGCGTCAGCCGTTTCGACCCTGATCCAGGTTGCGCCGCGGCCGCTCCCGGGCACGGTACGCATCCGGGACCGAGCCTCAGTTCGCGACGCAAACCTTACTGTCGAGGTGCTTGGAGTGCGCGGCGGCGTGGGGCCGAACGTCACGATGATGACATCGCTGGAGGCGCTTGCCACTGATGGTGCCTGGGCGCCGCTCGCGGTTCCAGACATTGCGTGGCAGCCTCGAGGCGGTGCAGGCCTCTTGCTCGCTGTATCAGCTGGCGTGGTGGTTGATGCTGGGGCTGCGATTGCGCAGCAGGTTGACCTCTCAAGCATCAAGGTGGCCGGCCTTGTGGCCCCGCACCTCAGTGGGCCTACGAACGCAACGCGTATCCGGGCGGTCGTCTGGCTGGTGGACGCGAGCGGAGTAGCCGGTCCGAGTTTGACGACCGAGGCAGCTGATTATGCAACAGCAACGCTCCCGTTCCCGCCGCCACCGTTCTTTCCGCCACCATCGCCGCCGCCGCCTGTCCTTCAACCGCCACCGCCGCTGCCGCCGCCGCCGCCCAACTCGACTGCGACTGGAGCTGCGGGCTTGGTGCCAGCGAGTGCGAACAACAGCGACGGGTGGCCGCTGTGGCTCATCCTTGTTGTCTGCGGCAGCATCCTGCTCTGCTGCTGTCTCATCCTACTTTGCGCTTTCTTGGTGTTGCGGCGTGCGCGTTCGCAGCGCGACGAAGCCACGGCCGAGTTCTCTGGCGACGTCGAGCGCGATCAGATCATTCGGGACGAAGGTGGCGTGGGCAAAGACGACGCGATTCCCCACATCTTTGCCTTTGAGCGCGAGGTCAGCTGCACTGCGCTCGGTGCTGAAATTGAGCACGACTTTGATTGCAGGCCACGGTCGACAGGAATGGAGAGCGACAATGCGGTCATCGACTTTGCCACGCCCGGCCAGCTCCCGCCGGATGAGGTCTCTGACGCTGAACTCTCGCTCTCGACGTCCGAGCTTGGGCTGGAAACGGGATTGGATGCGGGGCCCAGCCTGTTCCTGGGCGACGCGACTGTGCTGGAGGCGCAGAGTCTAGATGGGAGGGGAGCCCCTCTGATGCAGCGCAAGAACGATGATGGGCTTTCTGGAGACGAGGCGGCTGGGCGTCAGGGCACGAGTCGCGATTGTGGCCGCCGGCGTCGTGTGCGGCTAATGGGTAGCACCAGTAGCAGTGATGCTGAAGACGGTGGTAATGCAAGTAGTACGTGCCATGGCAGGGATGGACCCGGGGCTAAGCAAGCTGCTCTCGCCACAGGCGGTGGCCGTGCGGGGACCCGCCGCCGGCGCAAGGCCGAAGGCCGTGTCTCGGGTCATGGGTCGAGTTCCAGTCAGGCTGATTCTGTCACAGGCGATGACCGCTCACGTGTGCGCCGCCGGCGCAAGGCCAAAGGCCGTGTCTCGGGTCATGGGTCGAGTTCCAGTCAGGCTGATTTTGTCACAGGCGATGACCGCACACGTGTGCGCCGCCGCCGCAAGGCCAAAGGCCGTGCCTCGGGTCATGGGTCGAGTTCCAGTCAGGCTGATTCTGTCACAGGCGACGACCGCACACGTGTGCGCCGCCAACGCGGATATGTCCCGTCGTCGCTGGTGGTCGGCGCGGACGAGGTCGACACTATTGTCGGTCCAGCGTTTCAGAACTCGATCGCTGTTGTTCTCGACCTACCGGCCGATCGTCGCCACCGCTGGCGAACGATGCTCGATGCAGCGGCAGCCGACGTGCTCGACCTTCTGGCGTTGCGCCCGCAGCTGGCTGAGACTCCGACGGCGCTGCGGTTTGTGGTGCCAGAACAGGTACCGGACTCCATGCTGTTGTCATCGCGGCTGGCCACAGTCGCTGGCGAGCTCGCTAAAGCCGGCGGCCCGCAGATCAAGCTCGTCAAGGCCGCTGACGGCGCCGGACTCGACGCATGCGCCGCGCGCACGCTGGCAATCTCAGGCAGAGCCAGGCAAGGTGGCATGGCTCGCGCTGCTGCGCGGTCGGCCCGTAGCGATGCGGCGGCGCGAGTTGCTGGCACACATATGGTCCGTGTCGCGACTGGCGGGAGCTCGGTCGAGTTTGTTCTCAACCTGCCGGTCGACGCGTCGGCCTCTGTCCTGCTGGCGTGGGCGGACGAGCTGGCCGTGGCAGACGCAGAGCCGGGCGCCGCCGCGTCGGCGTCTCCCCCACCCGCAGCCGCGCCGGCTGCATCGCACACGGCGTCGCACCCGCCGACCGAGGTCTTCTTCCAGATTGTGACGCCGTCGTCGATCATGCTCCGGTGGGTCCCACCGCGCGCCGGCGGGCCGTACTCGATGTTCCGAGTCTACCGCGGCCTTGCACTCGCGCACGAGTCGCCAGGCACGTTCCTCTTTGACGATGACCTCGCGCCAAACACGCTGTACGAGTACCGGGTGTGCGGCCGCGGACGTGACGGGCTGTGGTCGGCAGCATCGCCTCCGTTCCGGGAGCGGACGCGGGCCGAATGAAGAGACATACCACACCACACCACACCGTATGTGCGTGTGTGTGTGGGGGGGGGGGAGCTCTAAAGTTTTTTTTTGGGGGGGGGGGGGGGGGGGTGAGGGGGTGTGGGGGAGTGTCAAGAACTGGAGATTAGTTTAGTCATCAAAGGTGATCTTGTTGCTGTTGCCCGAGTCGAAGCCGATGCGGCCGGCCGAGGGGCGCGAGTTGAAGCCGCCACGGCCACCGCCACGGCCACCGCCACGGCCACCGAAGCCGCCACGGCCACCGCCACGGCCACCGCCACGGCCGCCGAAGCCGCCACGGCCACCGCCGCCGCCGGACTGACGCTTCTGTGCAAAGTCAACACGGAGGTCGCGGCCCATGCAGTCGGCACCGGCGAGCTGCTCCACAGCCTGCTGCGCGGCAGACTCCTCCGAGAACTGGACGTAGCCGTAGCCCTTGAAGTAGCCAGTCTCGCGGTCAGTGATGAGACGGACGTCACGGACGTCACCGACAGCACCGAACATCTCGCGGATGGCACCCTCGTCGGCGTCGAACGAGATGTTGCCGACAAAGACGGTGTCGGTCTCGACCGGGCCCGACGGGCGCGACGAGCGGTCGTTGTTGTAGGCGTTGGTCTTCGGGCCGCCGGTGAACTTCTTCGAGTTCGAGTTGGCAAAGTCGATGCGGATGTTGCGGCCGTCAACCTCGGCGCCGGTCATCTCGTCGATGGCCTTCTGCACAGACGCGACGTTGGCAAACTCGACGTAGCCAATGCCGCGGTGCTTGCCGGTGTCACGGTCGTACACAATGCGGACGTCGGTGATCTCACCGATGTCCTTCATCGTCTCGTACAGCATGTCCTCGTCGCAGTTCCACGAGAGGTTGCCGCAGAAGATGGTGCGGTCGTCACGCGAGGCCGGCTCGCCGGACGGCTGAGCAGACTCGTCGTTGAGCTTGCGCTTCTTCGTGGCCGGCGCGTCAGAGTCCGACGACGACGAAGAGTCCGAGCCGGAGCCCGAGCCGGAGCCCGAGCCCGAGCCGGAGCCCGAGCCGGACGACGACGACGACGACGAGCCCGACGAGGAGGCCTTCTTGGCAGCGGGCGAGGCCGAGCGCTTGCGCTTGAGGGCAGCAGCGGGCTTCTCCGACGACGACGACGACGACGACGACGAGCCAGACGAGTCAGCGTCCGACGTGGCCTTGGCCACGGTCTCGGCGACAGCCGGGGCGGCAGCAGCCGACGACGACGACGACGAATCCGAGTCCGAGGACGACTTCTTGGCGGCAACCGGGGCGGGCTTGGCCGACGACGACGAAGACGACGAAGACGACGACGAAGACGACGACGACGACGGCGGCGGCGGCGGGGTCGGCGACTTGGCCTTGGACTTGGACTTGGACTTGGACTTGGACTTCTTGGACTTGGACTTGGACTGAGCACGAGCCATCGAAGAGGACGACGAGGAGGAAGAGGAAGAGGCCGATGCCGAGGAAGAGGAGGAAGAGGAGGACGTTGATGAGGACTGGTGCCAGGAAGGAGGAGGAGGAGGAGGAAGAGGAGGAGGAGAGGGAGTTGCATGGAGGGGGGAGGTATGGGTGAGCCAACGAGATAATAATAATCAAGAGGGCGGAGCCAGGGAGACCAATACAGGGGGATAGGGAGAGGGGAAAGGGAGAGTGTGTAGACGCAACCCCCTGCCTACCACATACATGCATACATAGGGTATGCAGTAGTGGCATGACTTCCCCCCCCCTGCCCGCACCCTGTCGCCATTGCAGGCAGTGACAGTGTGTGCGGAACAGGGTAAAGGGCCCAGAAAATGGATGGGGAAATGGATGGGGAAATGGATGGGCCATCCGTTTCTGGATGGGGAGACCAGCAGCTCCTGCACTGCGCCACCGCCATCATCCCTCCAACCCTGCCACTAGCAGAACCCGAGACGAGTCTGGTGGATGGGTGGAGAGGGTGGGGAGGAGGAGGGAGGAGGCCAGGAGGCGGGGGTAGGGGGTAGGGGGGAGGGGGGACATGACCATAGTGGCCAATGTTCCTGTTGTGGGCCATCCCATGTGAGATGGTCCAACAACACCCGCTGGGGGCCCCTTGCCCGCACCCTCCCCCGCCCTCCCCGCCCTGCCGCGCACTGTCAAGGGAGCAGTGGGTGGAGAGGGGGGAGGGGGGAGAGGGGGGAGGAAGGGAAGGGTGGGAGGGGAAGTTACTTACACCCATGATGACTGTTGGAGTTCTCGAGTGGAGTGGTGGCAGAGGATGGTCCAGGATGGCTCAGGCGGTGTGGTTGGGCCTCCTCGACTCGTTCGCTCGCACTCGCCTGGCGAAACGAGCGAACGAACGGATTGGCCGATCGAGTCAAGGTGAGACGTGGTTTGATGACATGCTACTACTACCAACCAAGCGAGACACAGTTGGAAGTTGGCCTCTCAGATGACATCGTCCAGCCAGTCCTCGAGGTCTTCGGTTGTTGCGTCAACAGCAGCAGCAACCGCATCAGCGGGTGCGGGTGTGGCGGTGGCGGTGGGTGCGAGCTGGACCTTGCCGCTGCCGGTAGTCGACGGTGCCGTGCGGGCTGCCGACGACGCCAGGAGTGCGTCAACATCGCCGTCATCAGCGGCGGCGATGCCGGGCAAGGCGCCGTCGTCGAGCGAGATGGTGGCTGAGACAATGGGCGCGCGCCCGTCGAGCTGGGCCAGGCGATCGGCTTGCTTGCGGAGGCTTGTGCCCGCCGGCGCAGGGCGGTCCGGCTTGGACGGGCCCTCGAGGTCGCGGTTGTCGTCGGGCAAGGCCTCGACCGCCAGCGTCGCTGCATCCTTGTCCGTGTAGAGGCTCCAGTCGACGTCGTCGGCTGCCACGGCTTTGGTCAGCAGCTCGTCCGGCACGTCCAGCGCCTGGCCGACAGCCGACAGCCCGATGAGCTCAGCACGCTCCACAGCCTCCTCGCGGGTCTCCACCACCTCGAGCACATCCACCGACTCGACAGCTTCTCTCCGCAACGCCTCCTCCATGGCCTCGAACCGAAACGCGTTGCCATCGCCCTTGCCCCGCCGCCTGTACTTGTTCGCCTCATCACCTTCTTCATCGCCACTCTGGGCCAACTCAGGATGGAGCTCTGGACACTGCGAGACCTGATGCGCCGCCGATCCGCAGCGATAGCACGTCCGAGATCCCCCACCTCCACGACCTCGCCCACCTCCACGATGACGGCGCACCCCCATGACCTTTCCCCTCCTTCCACGACCTCCACCTCGGCCTCCGCCTCCGCCTCCGCCTCCCCGGCGCTTGCTCTTCTCCTTGCCCTTGCGGCGGACCTGAGTCATGACCAGCCACCAGACACAGACACAGACAGTGTTGGAGTGAGTGAGTGAGGTGTTGGTGTTGGTGTTGGTGTTGGTGTTGGTGTTAGTGTGCGTGTGCGTGTGCGTCGGTCATACCCTGGTCCGCCACGCCCTGAGCAATGGAAGGCGACACAAGACGGACACCGATGTGGGTGGTGGTGGTGGTGATGGGCCACCACATTGGTCTCTCTAAGCCCTCATCAGATGCACACACATCCACATCCATCCATCCATCCATCCATCCATCCATCCATCCATCCATCCATCAATTCCCATATCCCTTCCCTCCCCTCCCCCCCCCTTCCCCCCCTTCCCCCCCCCTTCCCCCCGAAGAGGCCATGACAGCCAGTGAATAGTCATTCAATTGGCTGACGAGTCACCAGACGCCCACCAGACGCCCACCAGCGCCAGCCAGCCAGCCACACACACACACACACACACACACACACACACACAACACACGGCAGGTAGACACCACTACCACCCGACTCCGACTCTGAAAAGAGAGACAAAGAGGAGAGAGGAGGAGGAGGAACGATGTCTGAGAGTTCAGAGGGCGAGATGTTTGCCTGCCTGGAAGAGCTGTATGGCTCCCAAGTCGCCGTCCGTGCCGCCGCCTCGGACTCGCTGCTAGACATGCCTGCTCAAATTGGCGCACATGCTGCTGATGGTGATGCTGGGTGGGGTGATGATGATGGTGGTGGTCGTGGCATTGGTCGTGGTGGCGAGGCGGGAGAGGGCCAGAAGGTCGGGGGAAAGGGGGCGCCCGTCGGGGGCGCGCACTCTGCCGTGGCGGGGGCGGGCCGGTCGCGGGGAGCGACGGCGGTGGAGTCGCTCCTCACCGAGCGCTCGCACTTTGTTCCTGATGGCGATGCCAACGATTGTATGGTCTGTGCCTTGTCGTTCTCGCTGACAACTCGGCGGCACCATTGCCGCGCCTGCGGACGGCTGACTTGCGCCTACTGCGCACCCAAGTCACTCCTACTCTCGCAGTTTCATCCGCAGCCGATGCGGCTGTGCTCGCTCTGCTCGCGCGAGCTGGCCGGTGCTCTGCTGGAGCCCGAAACGCGACTTGTGCCGCTGCTCCTCAAGCTTCGCTCGCGGGAACGCCGAATGGCGCTCGCCCGCAGCGAGGCTGAAGAGGTCCTGTCCTCCCGAAACGCGTCCTCCGCTGTGGACTCGCCCGGTCGTGCCGCCCTGCGCGCCCGCCTTTCAGTCTCGATGTCGGCCCGCCGCGGCGTGACTCTTTTGAATCCGATGAAGTGTGAGCTCGGGCTGGTCTCGGCGCCGCCCGAGTGGCTCGCGCCGCAAGAGGTGACGCTCACCACGCCGGTCGCCATCGGCACCGTCATGCTCCCGCTGCCACCGGCGGAACGGGTCACCACCGGCGCGCTCTTTGGCTCGTACCTGGTGAGTATAGCCGGCCTCGCCGCCGCCGCTCCACGAGCCCTGCTCGGCAACCTCTGGCGGCCACTCTTTGACGCCACACGCGCTAGCGACGTGACCTTGCTCGCCGCCCTCCTCCGCGAGCTTGCGCCGGGCCTTGATCCGTCGGTCGTCAACGACGAGGGCCTCTCTCTCTTACACTACGCGGTCAGCGCAGCGTGCGCTCCGGCAATCGCTCTCCTCCTTGACGCTGGTGCCAATCCTAATGGAACAGATGCGCATGGCGAGACTCCGTTGCATTTGGCCACGACATTGGGCGAAGACGAAATTGTCGACATGCTCCTCCGCGCCGGTGCCAATCCACTGGCCGTTCCTTCGCCGGAACGGCCCGAGGCTACGCCACTCAAGTATGCCGCGCGCCAGCGGACCAAGCAAGTTCTGCTGCAATACATCAGCCCGGACGTGCTCCCGCGGGTTCGAGCACTCGGCCTCGCCGGCCTCGCCCTCATCCCGATCCTCCTCCCCAACGGTGAGGTCTTCCACCTTGGCCTCCCCTCGCACGACTGCACCGTCCGAGTTGCCCTCGCCGAGCTCCTGGTCCAGCTCGCCGCCCGCGCCGTCCTTCCGCAATCTGCGCTCGAGACGCCGTCGTACGCGTTGTACGCGCACGGCGAACTCGGCGTGGTCCTCGGCCGTGAGCTCATGCTCTTCACCATCGACGTTGTCGTCAAGTACTGGCACGGCCAGTTCCTCGGCCCTCCGTTGCAGCTTATCGAGCTCATGGCCATCCCACCTGGCGCCGCTGCCTCGTGCCATGCCTATGCCGCTGACTCGGTCGTCCGCGCCGAGCTAGCCTCACTTCCGCCGTCGGCGCTTGCTTTCTCGCGTGCGCCCGAGACCCAGGCCTTCCTCTCCCGCTTTGTCCCGCGACTCGCCTCGCTCGCCGCCCGTCATCACCAGGCCTCGCCGCAGTATGCGCTCTCGGTGGTGTGCGGAACGCCGGCGCCAGCCGCACCTGACGCCATGCTCACCGTCAAGTTCCACCCGGACCCGGAAGGCAGCGCCTTCACCACCCTCCGTTGGCCTCTGCATGCCAAGACAAGCGACCTCATCGCCGACGTCCTTGCCAACTCCCGCGTCTTTGCCAAGTTTGGCCTCGACGTGCCGGGCCCCCGCGAGGCGCTCGTTCTCGCCGAGTGGGGCGCCGCCCCGCACTACATCCACTCGCACGACCTCCCGCTCTCGGCCTTTTCGGTCGTTCGTCGCGCACTCTCGTCCAAGCGCCACCGCGCCGTCCATCTCACCATCGTCGCCCGGCCGAGCCCAGCAAGCTCGGACGACGTCCTTATCGTCGAGCTCGGCGCAGGCGTGGCTGGTTGCCTCCCACCGCCCGACACCCACGCCCATCAGGCACTGGCGCTCACCCGATTGGGAAAGCTCCCGCGGCTCGACGGCGTGGCCGTGCCTGAATCAGTGCCCGAGACGCCGCAAGCTGTTGCCGATGACCTCGCCCGGGTCGTCGGCAGTCGGTGTGGACCTGAGCCGGTCGCACCGCTCACCGCATGGGACATTGACGTCCCATTTGGCATCCAGGTCGTCGGCGCCGACTTTGTGCCGCCGCTCGCGTACCAGCTCTGTGCGCCCGCAAGCAAAAAGCGGCCGGCGCTGGGCCTCGCTATGGTTGTTGAGCTTGTCCACGCCACCCACGCGCTCGCAGCACCGCACGTCACTCACCTGTTGCCGTTCTCGGAAGCGCCGCGCTGGCAAGCGCGGGTCAACTTTGTACGCGCCACACGCCCACAGCCGATCCCGGTCTCGGACCTCCCGCTCGAGGCCAAGGTCATCGTCACCATGTTCCTCGTCCACTCGACGAGAGCGGCCTCGTTTGACGAGCTTGCCGAGAGCTATGCATCTTGGGCGGCCGGCGCTGTCGGGCCAGCCCGTGGCCGGGCCGGCTCAAGTGGGCCTGGCGCAGCCGAGGCGGCAGTAGAGTCCGGCGCAGCGCCCGAGGCCGGCTTTGCCGCCGACCTTGCTGCCGCGCATCCGTCGGCATGCCTGCCCGAGACGCTCGCCGGCGCGTTCTTCCCGCTTGGCTGGGTCGCTGTTCCGGTCTTCGACTCGCGCCGCGGCATGGCCCAGGGTGAGGTCACTGCGCGGCTGTGGCGTGATGCGCCGGGCAACCCGCTCGGGCCGCTCGGCTCGAACCCGCGGCTAGCCGGTGCTCTCCCGGTGGTGCTCTCGTTCCCGTCGTTTGCCCGACAGGTCATCCTCCCACATCCGCTTGCTCTCGACAATCCTGACGATGCCATGGCAGAGCTGTACGCTTCCGGACCGCTCTGCGAGCCAGACTCGCTCCTCGATGAGCTGTTTGGCCAGGGCCAGCCGCTGGCCACCGCCGCGACGCTTCCGGTCGACGCTTGCACGCTCTCGGCCGTTCTTGACGCCAACGACGCCGCCGAGCTTGATGCAATCCTCGGTCTCGACCCGCTCACGCAGCTGAGTCGGGCACAATGCGAGCTGCTCCGGCTCTACCGCGGATATCTCTCGGTAGCCGGCGTCTCGCCGGTCCGCTACCTCTCGTCGGTCGACTTTGCGTGCCGGGCCCAGGTCGCCGAAGCGCATGCGCTGCTCGTCCGCTGGCGGCGGCCGCAGGTCGACGGCGTGGACTTGTCTGTACTCGAGCTTCTCGGCCCGCACTTTGCTGACGAGATGGTGCGGATGTATGCGGTGAACGAGCTTGCACGGCTCGACGACGAGTTGTTGCTGCTGTTCATGATGCAGCTGGTCCAGGGCCTCAAGTACGAGCGGTGCCACGACTCGGCACTGGCGCGGTTCCTTCTCGGGCGGGCGCTGTGCAACCGGCACGTTGGCCACGCGCTGTTCTGGCACTTGCGATCAGACGTCCACGAGTCGGAGAACGAGGCCCGGTTTGCGCTGCTTCTCCACGCCTATTCTGCGGCGGCAGGGCGGGTGCAGGCTAGCGAGCTCGTGGCCCAACTGCGGTTGGTGGAAGGCCTCACTGACGGGGCCGAGTGGATCAAGGCCACCAAGTCGCAGCTCAACGTGGGCTCGCTGCGCAAGCGGCTGAGAGAGGTGTTCGGCCCGGACGCTCCGGTCTCCTCGGGCCTCCCGTACAACATGACGACCAAGGTCGGAGCGCTTGTGGTGGACAAGTGCAAGTTCATGGACTCGAAGAAGCGGCCGCTGTGGGTAGTGTGCACGGAGGCGTCGCCGCGGGCCGACTCGCGGCTGCCGATCATTTTCAAGACCGGCGACGATCTGCGGCAGGACGTGCTGACGCTGCAGCTGATGCGGGTGATGGATACCGAGTGGCGCAACGCCGGTATGGACCTCTGCATGTCGCTGTACTCGGTGGTGGCAACCGGAAAGGAGGCTGGCATGATCGAGGTCGTGGCCAACTCGGCAACGCTTGCCGACATCCAGATGGCGGCCAAGGGCGCGCGGTCGGCGTTCTCAGACAGAGTACTTGCCGACTGGCTACTCGAGGCCAACGTCGACTCGCGGGCGCACGCGAACGCTGTTGAAACGTTTGTGGCGTCGTGCGCAGGCTACTGTGTCGCCACCTACGTGCTCGGCATCGGCGACCGGCACAACGACAACATCATGCTCGCCCGCGACGGCTCGCTCTTTCACATTGACTTTGGCCACTTTCTTGGCAACATCAAGCGCAAGTTTGGCATCTCGCGCGAGCGCACGCCGTTTGTCTTTACGCCCGACATGGTGTACGTCATGGGCGGACGCGACTCGCCGCAGTACGCCCACTTTTTGGAGCTTGCCTGCGCCGCTTACAATGTGCTCCGCGCGTCGGCCACCAAGCTCATCAACCTCTTTGCCATGATGCTCAATGCTGGCATTCCCGAGCTCTCCTCGGTTCGCGACCTCGAGTATCTTCGTCGCGTCCTCCGCCTCCAAGACACCGACGAGGAGGCTGCGACGTACTTTCGCGATCTGGTCGACGAGTGTCTCCGTGGCGGGTGGAAGCACATGCTCAACTGGTACGTCCACAACAAGGTCCATGCATCGGCACTGCTCTCGGCCCACATCTGAAAATGTACGGCAGGCAGCACTAGAGACTTTTTACGCTCCCTCACTTGCGCTTCTGGCGCTTGCTTGCGCTTCCGCTGGCGGACTGTGCCCCCGCATCGCGCTTGCGCTTGGCGCGGACAGCGTTAAAGACAGTGCGGAGGTGAGCGATTTCCTCGCGCTGGGCAGCAAGCGAAGCAGCGGTGAGCTGTGCGTCGACGACAGCGGCGGCGGCCCGGCGGGAAGCAAGCCACGAGCCAAAGATGCGGGTCGACTTGGGCGGCAGGACGCGGGCGTCAGCGATAGGCGCAGCGACGGCCGAGACCGGGCCGACGTCGTGCTCGCCGTCTGTGGGGAGGAAGAAGAACCTGTGGGCACCCTTCGACTTCTTGGCCCAGCGGCGCATGATGCGCGAGAGCGAGTGGGCGCCGGGCTTGGGGATGGCAGGGTTGAACGTGCCCTTGGAGACGTCGTAGACGTTGACAAACTTGGTGGCCTTGATGGAAGACTGGCGGACCGGGATGGGCTCAAGGGCGACGGCAGCAGCGGCCATGGAGCGGACCTTGGGGTGCCAGTGCGAGTTGGCAAGAGCCATGAGCTCGAAGAGGGTGGCGGCAAGGCCGTTGGCGTGGTGCGGATCGTCGACCTCGTCGTCAAAGGCGCCCATCGAGGTCTTCTCCGACTCGAGCAGCTGGTGGAGGAGCGGGGCCTTGAGCATGACCTTGCGGATCATCCAGATGATGGAGATGGTAAATCCAACAGGGGTCACCGTCGCTAGCGAGGCCATGCGCTTGAGGATGGCAGCAACGCGGGGAGCGGCAAGCTCGCGGCCGAGGTGGGCAAAGGCGCGCTCGAGGTTGGTGAGGATCGAGGTGAGTGTCGGCTGGAGCGCAGCACGCTGGGCAGTGGTGGCGGCCGCAACGACCTCGCCGCGGACCTCGGCGAGGGTGGTGTAGAGGCCGATGTAAAAGTCCTTGAGGTCGACCTGGAAGGCCGAGCCAAGGCCGTCGACAAGGCCGAGGGCGGTATGGATGGCATAACAGCGGGCAACGAGGCGGATCGAGGTGTCGGCGACGATGGCGGCCAGAGCGGCAAAGAGGTCGCCGGTAAACTCGACGTTGACCAGATGGGCATGCTTCTCGAGGCCGGCCAGGACAGCCGGAAGGAGGCGCGAGTGCGGCGCCTTCTTGAGGACGCGGAAGTAGGCGAGCATGATGCGCGAGAGGATGTCGGTCTGCAGCAGCTGGCGCTCGTACTTGCTGACCTCGGCTGACTCCTTGGCGAGTGCCATCTCGCGCTTGCGGCGGGCCTTCAGCTCCTTGCGCTGCTTGCCGGAGAGATGCGGCTGGAGGACCTCGTCGATGGAGCGGCGCTGGCCGTCGAGGGTGACGGCCTGCGGAACAGCGTCGAGCAGGCGGAGCTCGCCAAACAGCTGGACGAGCTTGGGCGACGCCGAAAACTTCTTGGCCTGCATCAGCGAGGCAATAAGGCCGATGGCGGCGAGTGTGATCTCCTTCTCGCCGTCGACGTCAAAGACCTCGACCATGGCGTCGTAGCACTGGCTCGAGATGCGCTCGTTCTTCGAGTTGACGCCGCGGAGGATCCACTTGATGAGGTCGGTGGAAAAGTTAAAGTGCGGCTTGTGGATGACCAGGGTGCAGACCGAGGTGACGTAGAGCTTTGCATCGACGCGGGCGGCGGGGGAGATGGCAGCCTCGTCAGCGTAGTTGACGGCACGGAACACGTCGTCCATCCGCTTGTCGAGGAGCTGCACAAAGGCCTGGTACGAGTGGACGAGGCCCTGCTCCGAAGCGCGCTGTGCGGAGACAGCCTTGGACACCTTGACCGACGTCTCATGGTCCGTCAGCGTCCGAATACGATAGCCCGGCAGGATGTCCTTGTACACGGTGGTGAGGCCGGCAACGGCATACCGCTGGACAACCGGATCACGGTCGCTCTGCGCGAGCTGCAGCATCTCGTCAAGTCCGTGAATGTGGCTCTCTGGCGCCTCGAGCAGAAGCTGCACGCCCTCGGCAATGTCGCGCTTGCGCTTGGCAAGAAGCCGGTTGCGCTTGTGGCGAGCGGCAGCCTCCGAGAGAACCTTGGTCTTCTCGCCGGCCTGGTCGTCGTTGTCGCCTTGGAGCGAGCCATCACCGCTCTCGCTCTCGGACGCCTCCTCCATGGCCTCGGGCTCCAGCGCGTACATCGACGGCTGGGCCTCGACGTCAACCAGCTTCCCTGATCGGGTCACGGTCGGCAGTTTGCCCTTCTCGGACGGCTGGGCCCACGAGGTGGCGCGGCGGATGCCGATGTCGCCAAGATCGTCGTCGTCGGCGGTGGCGGCTGTGCCCACAGCGGCAGCATGATTCGACACAGCATCGGCCGAGTCCGACTCGGACTCGCCGTCATCAAACACCTCGCCGGTGGCGCGGAGGAGCGAGCGCATGGCGCTGACGTTGACGTCGGTGAGCATGTCGTCGTCGCTCGAGTCGTCGTCGCTCTGTGCGCCTGTAGCTCCACGTTCGAAATCGGTGTCGTCCAGCACCATCATCTTGTTCTTCTTACGCTTCTTGAGCTTGAGATCCATCTTCCGAGCTTGCTTCTCCTTGCGCTTCTTCTGCGCTGCCGTCATGTCTTTGCGCACCATTCTCCGGATCTTCATGCTCGGCTTGGCTCCACCGAGCGAGCGGAGGAGCGGATGCTGATCGGGAGCAAGCTCCTTGTTCCGAATCATCCTCTGCTTCTTTTCCTGCTGCACCTTTCGTGCCGGACGAGGCAGAGCATGCGTTCTTGCCGCCTTGGTCGCCTTCTTATTCCTCACCTTGAGCGAGGCCTGCCGCTTCTTGGCCGCCACACGACCCTTGGAGCCGCCCTGTGTGGAACGTTGGAGGTGAGTGTGAACATGGCAGGGGAAACGGGATAAGGAGGGGAGGGGAGGGGGGAGCGAGGAGGAGGCGTACCATGTGATCAGTGGATGGGTGGAAGAGAGTGGGGTGGAGGTGGAGGAGGCCGGCAGGGGGGAGGGAGTGGGAGCGAGGATGAGGGAGGATGAGTGGATGGATGGGTGGGAGTTTCAGGGGAGGGGGGGGGGGGGGGGTTGATGGTGGGGATGAAGGCATGCGATAAAAGCGTGCGATGGGCGCGGGATGGGGATGGGTTTGGCGTTGGTGAGGAGAAGGAGGGGGAAAGAGTGGGGGGAGGAGGAGGGGAGGGGGAGGGGGGGGGAGGGGAACTTCGATCATCGTCTACATGGATGGGGGGAGGGAGGTAGGAGAGGGAGATCGGATCGGGAGATCACGACAAGATGGTCTAGATTAAGTGAGTGGTAATCATTGTTTCACTCCCACTGTATTACGAGGGTGGGGGTGGGAAGGAGATATACCGGCTTGGAGATGGCAAGACATGAGCATGGTGTGGGAGGGCTGGCCGGTAAAGATATCCCGCAAAGAAAAAATGAGCCCGTAGCCCGAATCTCTCCTGCCACGCTCATGCCCTCGGTCTTTGCAGCCACGTCGCAGACACACAACCAAGTGGCCGTGTGCTATGCATGGGCACCATTGCATGCCGGTGTAAGCGGGGTGCCGACATGGTGGTGGCACTCGGGCTGGCGGGGGTGCCTGTGTTTGTGGCGACGATGGCTGGTACTGCTGTTTTTTCGGGCGGATCGACACAGCAGATGGGGGGGTGGGAGCATAGACTCCTCCGAAAGGAAGCCTGATCATGCGGTACAGCAACTACTCGATTTCGACGAGCACGATGACTGCGGCTGGTGTGGTGGTGGTAGCGAGTGAGAGAAACACGTCGCTGGTGTTGCTCCTCCTGTGTATTGGATCTGCGCGGCTGAGGAGATGGCGATGCTTCCTATTTGTCTTGTCGGCCACGTTCTCAGCCTGGGACGGGTTCAACCTCACGCCGCGGATCGTCGCCTCGGCTCTCGGCTCGGACCACAAGCTGCTGGTTGTCGGGCCGAGTGCGGGCAGCGATACAGCGGCACAAAGTGGGTGTCAAAGCGGATGACGAGAGGATGGAATGATCGGTTCAGTTTGGGCCGCTATGATAATGGTTGCTTCGGTCGATCGCCACACTAAGGCAGCCGGTGGCACTCGCCTCCCTCCGCCGCCAGGACGGCTCCCCAGGTCAACCGTGGCTCGGCAGCCGGCAGCCATCCATCCATCCAAGGCGAGTAGCCAGCGAGGAGGGAGGAGGGCGGGTGACAGGGCACCACTCGACGCCAGCGATTGCAAGCGGCAACGAGCAGAGGTAGTTGAGGCAGAGTACCTCAGAAGACGGACGTATGGCAGGCGGCAAGAAGGGTGGCAAGCGGAATAAGGGCGGAAGACGGCGAAGCCATACTTGAGCCACAGCCAACACAACCAACACAAACGCCCAGAGGAGGAGGAGGAGGAGAAGGAGGAGTTTGAGGCGGCGGCGGCGGCGGTGGACGATAGCTCGCGGGTCGAGGTTCCTGAGTCGTATGAGTTCCAGCTGGCAGAGGACTTTGAGGATGAGGACATCTCGTCCGATGGCGCTTTTGACTCGGATGACTTTGAAAAGTTCGGAGACCTCGGCGTGCCGGCCGCACGCAAGTCGGCCACGGGCCGCCGCCGCAGGCTCCGGGCCAACGACATCCGTGACGATGACTTTGATGAGAGCGAGCGCCACATGCTGATGGATCTTTCCGATATGTTTGGTCCGCAGGAGCCGGCTGCCGCGCCGGCAAAGTCCTCGCGCAAGGCTCGGCGTGAGGCCTCGGCCTCAGCCTCAGCCTCGGGCTCGGGCTCGGAGTCGGCATCGAGCTCAGGCTCGGCAGACATGCTCTCGGTCGCGTCGGACGACGATGAGTCCGGCTCAGACTCGGGCTCGGGCGGGCTGGCGGCGCGGATCGCGACTCTGGGCAAGCGCGAGGCGCGCAAGACGCGGCACGCCAAGGTTCTTGTCGACGTGGCCGAGGCATCCGAGTACGGGCTGGGTAATGCCGAGGGAGTGACGCTGGAAGACCTGACGGCGCCGCTCTCCGGGACCAAGACACTCAACCGGCAGCTCCATGCGCTGCAGTCCGAGAAGGACAAGGTGGCGGCGCCGCTCGACGAGCGTGTGGTGGACAAGATCGAGCGGAGCGTGAGCTACAAGGAAACGGCTGCGCGAGTCTCGCGGTGGCAGCCGGTCGTCCGGCGCAACCGGCGGGCCGAGACGCTGGACCTCACGCAGGAGCTGGCGCAGTTCAAGTCGCGGACGGCCGAGTCGCTCGTCGAGCCGAACAAGGGCGCGTCAAAGAACGCGCTCGAGGCGGAGATCAACAAGCTGCTCAAGGCCAACGACGTGCGGACGGAGGACGGCGTGCTCCGTGGCGAGGAGCTTGAGCTCCGCAAGGTCAGCAAGGAGGCCGAGGAGCAGCAGCACGCTATCCTCGCCAAGATGCGCTCCCTGATGTTCTTCCAGGAGGCCAAGAACAAGCGGGTGAAGAAGATCAAGTCAAAGGCGTACCGGAAGATCCTCAAGAAGCGGCGCGAGAAGGAAAAGGCGGCGCTTCTGGAGGAGCTGATGAAGCTCGATCCGGAGCTTGCGCAGCAGGAGCAGCTCAAGCTGGAGCGCAAGCGGGCGCTCGAACGCATGTCGCTGCGCAACAAGAACAAGTCTGCGTGGGTCAAGCGCCAGCTGAAGAACACCGCTGGTGTCCGCGAGGCCGCCACCCGCCAGGCTGTCCGCGACCAGCTCACCATGGGCGCCGAGCTGAGCAAGCGGATGGCCGGCCTCGGCTCGGGCTCGGACTCGGACTCGGACGCGCCTCGCATGAAGCTCGGAGGCGATGAGTCGGGCTCAGAGTCTGAGGTTGCCGTCGGCGAGCTGGGACGATCGCAGACGCGCGAGGAAGTGCTCGAGTCGGCCGTGGGCAAGCTGCGGACGCTTGGTTCGGTCAACGCCGGCGACGCGCTCGCCGAGCTCGAGGCCGAGGCCGAGTCTGGCGGCAAGAAGGGGCTGTTCCAGATGAAGTTCATGAAGAAGGCCTTCATCCGCAAGCACCAGGAGACCGAGGCCGCGGCCAAGGAGGTGCTCGCAGAGCTGGAAGCCCAGCTGGAGAACAATGACGACGACTCTGACGACGAGGTGCTCGGCGGACGCGGTCAGCTCGCCGGTGCGGTCCGCAAGAACAAGGTCCGCTTTGCCGGGCGGTCCGCCCAGCTCGCCGAGGTGGCGACGGCGAGCGGCGCGTCTAAGAGCCAGACAGCTGGCGACGTGGCTGTCGACCTTGACGGCGTCGGCGGCAAGCCGATGCAACTTGCCATGGCGCAGTCGGGCGCCACCAAGAGTGCCAAGGACGGCTCGCTCAACAAGCGCGACGCCGCGGCCGAGGCCCGCGCCAAGCTCGAGGCTGATCTCGCAGCCGAGCGCGCCTTTGACCGCGCCGTGGCACAGCAGGAGGCCGCGGCAGAGGCCGCCGGCGCAGGCTCTGGATCCGGCGACAACGCCGGCGGTGCCAACCCGTGGCTTGTGGCAAGCTCGGACATGAAGCGGGCGCAGCGGAAGAAGCGCACGATGGACAAGGTTGGCAAGCAGCTGGCGGCGGCGCGCGAGGCTGGTGGTGGCGGAAGCCGCACTCAGTCGGTCCTCGACGCCGAGGGCGCCGGCGACGAGCCGGTTCTCGCGGCCGCGGCCGCGGCAGCTGCCGCCGCCGAGGGCTCGGACGATGAAGCCGGCGGTGCGGCCGGAGGCCAGTTCCGGCTCACGACCGGCAAGGGCGGTAAGGGCGGCGAGCGGCAGGCGGCGCTTGTGGCCGAGGCCTTTGCCGACGACGATGTGATGGACGAGTTCCGTGCCGAGAAGGAGTCGCTCGTCGACGAGCAGACCGGCATGACCAAGTACGCTGGCCTCGCTGACGCGCTCGGCCTTGCCGAGAACAAGCCCGGATGGGGCGGCTGGGTCGGCAAGAACATGAAGCCGATGGAGGCAAAGGCCGACAAGAAGAAGCGGAAGAAGCGCAAGGGCAAGGCACCGCCCAAGTCGCGAGCCAAGCGCAAGCGCGATGCGCAGCTCGACGCGCTCAAGGCCGCCCACGAGGCCGAGCGCAAGGCCAAGCGGGCCAAGCGGCGCGATACCGGGCTCGACAACGTGTTTATTTCGGAGAAGAAGGACAAGAAGGTCCTGGCGTACCAGGCCGCGCTCCTCCCGCACGCCTTTGAGTCCAAGCTTGTGTACGACGCTGCGCTGCGGATGCCGCTCGGCAAGGACTGGAACTCGACGTCGGGCCACAAGATGCTCACCAAGCCGGAGCTCATCACCAAGATGGGTGTCATGATCAAGCCCATGACCATGACCAAGTCGATGAAACAGCAGCGCAAGCGTCGCGGTCTGTATGCGCCCAAGAACCGCGGCGGAAAAGACAACGAGTAAAGCCGTCTACACTCCCCATGCCTTCGCCGATCGCCAAGCATGTGCCGACTGCCGACCTGCGACAAGACGGTCAGCCGCCCGCGGCCTCTTGTCCGCCGCCAGCCGCCCGGGGACCGTGGCACTCGACGTGGTCTGGCGTGTGCGTAGGTAGCCCCTACCTCCCCTCACCACCTTCCCTTCCTTCCCCCTCCAACCACCACCACCACCCCGCCGCCATGGCCATGGCCCCGTCCTCGACCCGTCCTTCGGACTGGTCAGTCGACCAGGTGTGCGCATGGCTGGCAACAAAGGGTTACGGCTCGCTGCAGGTACGGACAAGCCCCCCCCCCCACCGCACACACACACCCACACACACACCCACATACACACATACATACATACATACACTATGTGTATCTCTCCCCATCCCCTCCCCCCCCCCCCCTGTCCCCCCCTCCCCCTCCCCCCTCCCCCCCTCCCTCCCTCCTCCCTTCAATCCTTGCCATGATAGTGGATATTGGTCTGGCTGGGTCACCTCCTGGGTCACCTCCCCCCCGCTCGCCCTCCGCCTCTCCCCCGTCCCCCTCTCCCC